GAAAATTAGGGGATAAGCTGTTTGAGAGCGTTCAGACCTGCTTGAGTGATGTACACTACCAGGAAACTGAGGGAGACACGCTACACGAGAGGATTAGCTCATGACCTCAGGGAATACGATGTACTTGACTGCTGTAAACCCTCTCGACAGTGTAATAGGTCTGCTCCCTGGAAAGTACAGAAAATAGATGTCGTTATTGTACCCCTCAAGGTGAAAAAGATTCATCATGAACCGGGACAATTACGGTGTTTGTATGGAAGCATGATATCCCGGTTACCAAGAGGCAATAGTTTACATGTATATTGCGACGGGTCGGTGGCACTCGTTCTCGCACTTTCTTACAGTCAATATTGACTTATTAAATAAGTGCATATGTGACATACTAATTTATTGTGAATATTTTAGTTTACCTTGAAAAGCTTCATAGAAAACACCGACCTTACCTAACCTTCTTAGTATGTTAAGATAGGCATCTTATTGCTTCGTAATTGATTGTCCGTTGATTAATGTATATAGAAACACTGAGATAAGGACTGTTCCTGAACAAATAGCCTGGATGTGTCACAACGGAAAGGTTGATGATATTCTTGAGAGATATAAGAATTTTGCACCAAGACTGTAATTTTTTGTTGAATTATCTGCATGTCTCTTGCAAATTGTGTATACAGTATACCTCGGTCATAAAAGTATTTATGTGTACGTCTGATACCATACTACTTGTGTAAAGTAGGAAATGTAGACGTTTACCTCTCAGAATGTTTGGTAATATGTTTATTGTTTGTGATGTGTGTCTATGTATGTATTAACACGATGTACTGAACGGGGTGAGAATAGCTTGAGCTACCTCATCCCTTTGTGTGTATTTTACCACAATAAACTTATTTCAATTTCAATTCAATTTCGTAATTACAATTATTACTTAACCTATACCTATATAATAGGTTAACCTTAATAATAGGTTAAGTAATAATTGTAATTACGAAACAATAAGATGCTTATCTTAACATACTAAGAAGGTTAGGTAAGGTCGGTGTTCTATGAAGCTTTTCAAGGTAAACTAAAATATTCACAATAAATTAGTATGTCACATATGCACATATTTAATAAGTCAATATTGACTATACGAAAGTGCGAGAACGGGGTACGTGTTCCGTGAGGGCGGGCTCCAGCTCCCACACCCGCCCTGGGGCTGGTGAGGGCGGGCTCCAGCTCCCACACCCGCCCTGGGGCTGGTGAGGGCGGCCTCCAGCTCCCACACCCGCCCTGGGGCTGGTGAGGGCGGGCTCCAGCTCCCACACCCGCCCTGGGGCTGGTGAGGGCGGGCTCCAGCCCGGCCCGAGGCCAGACTTGACTTGTGAGAGTTTGGTCCACCAGGCTGTTGCTTGGAGCGGCCCGCAGGCCCACATACCCACCACAGCCCGGTTGGTCCGGCACTCCTTGAAGGAAACAATCTAGTTTCCTCTTGAAGATGTCCACGGTTGTTCCTATAATATTTCTGATGCTCGCTGGTAGGACGTTGAACAACCGCGGACCTCTGATGTTCATATCTCCTTACCAGTGTAATTATCTCTGTTAACTTACATTGTATTTATTTCTTGATATAAAACCTTGCTTCAATTGTTACAGTTGTTTCTCCTTGTGAAGAGTATTAAACATTGTGCTTGTAAGGGCGGGGAAGTTGAGCTTCCACTGGCCGCCAGCAAGCCTAGGACGGTCCCACCAGCTCTCAGTCTCAGGCCTATAGCTTGTTCCATCTTTGTGTATATTATATATAATGATATATAGTGGGTATAATGAGTCCATTATGTGCCTCTGTAACCCTTTCCACTTCCGCCCACAGGATGGGTATGGGGTGCATAATAAATGAACTAAACTAAATTCAGTATAAGTCTAACGCGTATATACACTAGCTGCCTGTCCCCTACACAATGATTTATTATTAACTATAATATGCAGTATACCTTGCTAAAGCGAACACTACAGTTTCGTCATAGGAGATTTCTAAACTGTTTAGTTTTGTTCATTTATTATGCACCCCATACCCATCTTGTGGGCGGTAGTGGAAAGGGTTACAGAGGCACATAATGGGCTCAGGGACTGAACCCCACAATTCATTTAGCTAAGCAGAGAGCCGGTCGGCCGAGCGGACAGCACGCTGGACTTGTGATCTTGTGGTCCTGGGTTCGATCCCAGGCGCCGGCGAGAAACAATGGGCAGAGTTTCTTTCACCCTATGCCCCTGTTACCTAGCAGTAAAATAAGTACCTGGGTGTTAATCAGCTGTTACGGGCTGCTTCCTGGGGGTGGAGGCCTGTTCAAGTTCAAGTTCAAGTATGTTTATTGAGATAAGCAATAAATACATCTCAAAGGGATAGAGTAGCTTAGGCTATTTCTACCCCCCTCTACTTCAAGTCCCTCAAGGGGCGCACAAATTCAGTGAGTACAAATAGACATATAACAGTACAAGAATCCCATTTAACATTGCATACAGCAAGTACAGCATATAATTGTTACATTCTTGGGGCAAAATTCTTGTAGCTCCTAAGTATACTGTCTATTATACCATTATCACACATCCAAACAATTTGATGTGGTACACTATTTATTTCCTTATTTCTATATTTTTCAATAAGGTGACACTCTAATACATAATGTTCTAAGGTGTGGGCGTACGGCATACTACATAATTTACACTCCTTATCTTTTTCACTGACATCAACACCGTATTGCCAGATATATTTATATCCTAATCGTAATCTCATGTAAATTGAATCCTTCCAAGTAGACTTTCCTTTACCATAAGTGAAGGACGAATTTGTATTTATTATTGAATAATTCTTAAGTGTGTTACTACTGTCCACCATTGCCATTCTCTTTATCATTTCTTCACCCTCCTGAATCACCTTGAGTCTAGTTTTTATTTGTTTCAAGGTTAACTGACATACAACATCAACAAGAGTTTTTTCAGTGGCTCTCTTCGCTATGTCATCAACTACCTCATTCAACAGTATTCCCACATGTGAAGGGATCCACATGAATCTTACTTTATACCCAGTTTTTTCTAGTCCCTTAACATTCTCTCTACACTCTATCACAATATTCTGATATATTGGGCGTCTGCTATTTAAAGACTCTAACGCTCCTCTGCTGTCAATAAAGAAGCAAGCATTTTTACCACATTTGACTACTTCCTGTAATCCTGCTAATACTCCTTGGAGTTCAGCCTGCGTTGAAGAGACATTGTCAGTTAAGCGGCGTCCAATAACAGTATCTACAGTGCCGATGTCAGTGTACTCCCTGATCAAGACTCCACATCCTGCCTTCCCATCCCTAGCTACTGACCCATCACAATATACATGTAGAGTGTTTTCCGTAGGCAGTTTTCTAATTATACAATCATATGTTGCCCTCAGCTCTCCTATTTCATACATACTTTTTTTCTTATGCAAGGGAGTAATTACTACATCTACATTACAATCCTCCCATGGTGGTGTAAATTTTTTCTTGGGCACAGCAATACACTCTGTAATAACATCATACTTTATAACATTATAACATAATTTATTCATATATACTCTCTTCTTCATCATACACTGTTCACTACTTCCCACCTTTTGAACCGAGAGGATTAATTCATTAGCTCCCCCACCTCTCATTAATCTAATGGCAGAGGCTACATTTATCTCTGAAATTCTATCCCCAATACTCTGCAGATTCAACTCCATCCTCATTATCTCAATCATAACATTTCTGTATCTCAGTTATCCTTTTCTTACAATTTTTTTTTTTTTTTTTTTTTTTTTTTTTTTGAGATATATACAAGAGTTGTTACATTTTTGTAGAGCCACTAGTACGCGTAGCGTTTCGGGCAAGTCCTTAATCCTATGGTCCCTGGAATACGATCCCCTGCCGCGAAGAATCGTTTTTTCATCCAAGTACACATTTTACTGTTGCGTTAAACAGAGGCTACAGTTAAGGAATTGCGCCCAGTAAATCCTCCCCGGCCAGGATACGATCCCATGACATAGCGCTCGCGGAACGCCAGGCGAGTGTCTTACCACTACACCACGGTGACTGAGACAATCCTCAACTATGGACATGAAGACTGGGTTTCGACTGTTTAAGGACTCCAGTGCTCCTCGGCTATCGACAAATACAAAAACATTTTTGTCGTCATGACGTACTTCCTCCAAGCATGCTAGAATGGCCTGCAGTTCAGCTTGTGTGGATGATATATAATTACTATATAATTTGTTTAAATTACCAATCCAGCTGTCAATGCAATCAATCAGAGCTACCAATGTGCTTTAATATACCTACTAATCTCTCTCATCTCATTTTTTTCTTGCAAAGTATCTGTTATCATTTTATTAATTCTGCTAGAATTTACCTACTTAAAATTATCTGTTAGATTAAGGACCTGCCCGAAACGCTGCGCGTACTAGTGGTTTTACAAGATTGTAAATACTATGCTATGTATCCTCACAAACCCAATGTACCTTCTTGTATATAAATAAATAAATAAATAAATAAATAAATAAATAAATACATAAATAAATAAATAAATAAATAAATAAATAAATAAATAAATAAATAAATAAATAAATAAATAAATAAGAATATTAGTGGCCCTCAGATAAAATAACTTATAATGCCTGACACGCTATGCGTGCTAGTGGCTTTACAAGAATGTAAAATCATCATGATTACTATGTACTCTCTTAACCCCAATGTAGCTTCTTGCATATAAATAAATAAATAAATAAATAAATAAATAAATAAATAAATAAATAAATGTTATGATTCAGACATTTGAAAGTTAGCGGGCGACGTCGGGAAAAGTGTGAGCGACGAGAAGCGTCGACGGCTACCTTAGCAATCTTGTACATTAACTTCTCAGTTCACGTACAGTGACGCACTTAAACTCCCCGCTAGACACACTCAACCAAAGACCACGAAACAAGAGAGGAATAGAGAGCGAAATAAACCACGCAGCGTGTTTAATAACCGCGTGAGAAAAGAGAATAGAGACGGGGGCTGCTCGGTTTAGCTACTTCAGCTAGACGCGCCATGATGGCCGCTGCTTCACCTGCCGCTAAGCCGCTACACTCAGCCCTCGCCGACCACCAGACCCTCACCTCGCCAGGCTCAGGCCACAGTACGTCTCTCACCACCAACACGTACACACCTACACCTCTCACCCTCACCATAACCTCACATAACCCACGACTGTGGCCCCAGATGTTGAATTGATGTCATTGTGGTTCATTATATTCCGTGGGGGGTTATGTCCCTCAGGCTGAGGGAGTAAGCGCCAAGCTATTATGACTATAGCACTGGGAAGGGGTCAGGATAAGGATTTAGGATGGGACGGGGGAAAGGAATGGTGCCCAACCACTTTTGGACGGTCGGGGATTGAACGCCGACCTGCAGGAAGCGAGACCGTCGCTCTACCGTCCAGCCCAAGTGATAGGGTATCTCCCTAGGCTAAGAATACATGGTTAAGTTAGGCGCGCCATGCACGTATGGGAAGTCCCACTTCTAAATAAGTGGGTCCCACTTATAATAATAAGTCCCGCAAATAATTGTAGACTAAGAAAGTCCCACTTCTTCAAGTGGGACTTAACACACTACTTCAAGTCCCTCAAGGTCCCTTGAGGGACTTGAAGTAGGGTAGAAATAACCTAAGCTACTCTAGCCCTTTGAGATCTATTTTATTGTCTATAAACGAACGGAGAAATAATTGTCCTGAAACAACAAAAAAAAGTCTTGCTTAATATTGTTATATATTAACCATACTTGTGTATTATAAGTAAATATACCCGAGTCTACCCGAGAGCCACTATCACGAGTGGCCTCGATGAGGACAGGAAGCCGGCGGCTAGTCTAAGGTCCCCTCCTATCCTTTTTGCCTAGATTCTTTCCAGCTGGACTTTAAATGTTATAACAGAGTTGGCATTGAGGGCTTTGGCGGGTAGGCGGTTCCATGGGTTTCAATCATATTTACAAGATATGGTTGTTTTATATGTAATGACTAGACCTGTAGAATTTTCTATCTCGCAACCAGTTAAAAAAAAAGACTAAGAAATATTACTTAATCCATAATTAATATCTTACAATCAACACCATGTAACTAATTTCATTCACATTTTTCCTTGCAACAAGCTATAAGTTTAAATTAAATTTTTATTTGAATTATGTCCTTTCTTCGTTGTTATCTAATTCTTGCATTTCTTTAACTTATGGTGTTGATTCATGTCCCTTATAATCCATGTTTATTTTTAAGTGCTGGCCCCATTAAAATCAATCTGCCAGAAATGCTATGTGTGTGTGTTAGTGGCTTTGCAAAAATGTATAAACATCAATGCTATGTACCCTCATAAACCCAATGTACCTTTTTGTATATATATATAATTCCATCAATCAATCAATCTTGTTATAGTTTCTATAGGAGGATCGGTGGTGCCAGCGTCAGCGGAACGTGAAGGCAGGATACACTGGGGACACGAAGATGTGCTCAACCTGGTGGCCAAGGTTGGGCAGCACTGGCATGAGTTTTGTAGTGGGGTACGCAAGAAGAAATTTATCTGGAAGGACATTGCGGCAAAGTTAATCCACGATGGGTTTTCCATCACGGGCGATGACTGTGACCGCAAGTGGAGGAACTTGAAGGTACATACTTGCTTCCCAGCGATCTCTGGTTTTTCAGTTTTAAGTAACGGCTAAAATTAGTAATGTGCAATATATTTTGAGAATGTAACATCACAGATATGTGAAAGATTTAATTCATAGGGAAAAAAATATTAATTCAGTCTGTTGCACCATATTCAGACACCTGTTATTCATACTGACAGTTACCTAATTGTGCAGTTGGTGGGTCTGTGAAAAGTTTTTAATTAACTCATTTGTTCTAAAATTCACTGCGCTTTATACATTGAGGATCAATTTTGGGCAGAATAAATGCTGGTTCTACTGGGACTATTGCATCCCTGTATATTCCTATAAGCAAACAAACATTTTGAAAAAACTATTTAGAAAGGCTGCCTATGATCACATTCCCCTGCCCTAGGCTTGGTAACGTTTGGTAAATATCAGGTAACAAATCTTTTATTCAACCTTCTAAACCCATGTTGACAAATTTCTTTTTTTTTTTTTTTTTTTTTTTTTTTTTTTTTTTTTTTTGAGATATATACAAGTGTTGTTACATTCTTGTACAGCCACTAGTACGCGTAGCGTTTCGGGCAGGTCCCTGGAATACGATCCCCTGCCGCGAAGAATCGTTTTTTCATCCAAGTACACATTTTACTGTTGGGTTAAACAGAGGCTACAGTTAAGGAATTGCGCCCAGTAAATCCTCCCCGGCCAGGATACGAACCCATGACATAGCGCTCGCGGAACGCCAGGCGAGTGGCATTTCCTTAAGATATTGCTCAAAAGAAAGTCTTGAAGCTTGATAATGAAAGCTAGAATATTTCCTCAATATTTTTTTTTCCCCCCTCTCCAAAATTCTCCAGGCCATTTCATTGAGAACCTCACCCTCAAGATATACATTTGCTCACCATTGTTACAGGCATCCAGATTAGTGAACTTCGTGCTCTCCTTCAGAAATCAGGCTTCATTCATTTTGGTTGGTGCCTTGTACTAAGGCTGGTATCTCTCAATTGTTTTGCAAATTAGTTAGGTGGAGTTGGTTGTGTGTGTGTCCTTGGGTACTTGACCAGGAGTTCCATTGCACCTGTATCTCCTCAGGATTTTTGTGTGTGCTCAGTGAATCACACTTGGATACCTTTCCTCCAGATCACCTAACCTTCCCTACAGCTTCTGAGTGGATGTGTGTGTTATCATTCTTACACTGCAGTTGCAAAGATCTTACTCTGTAACTGAGGTGGGCCTTACTCAATGGTTTTTCTATAGCTTCTCACTTCTGTGTATCATGTTTGCCTTAGAGAGCATCAGAGTTGAATAACTCAAATATCAAACTTTTAGCGAACATGAAAAGTTCCTTTCTGAGTCACGCACATAATGCCCTTGTTCTCCTACACAAGTCCATGTGTGCATCATTTTATCTTTGAGTTGGTGGCAGTTGTGGGAAGCGGCTAGATGGGTGGACTTGTGGTTTGTGTTGGTGCAACTTGCTGGTCCCTGTAATACAAAGTAGGTGGAGAACAGGCTTTTGTGTTAATACCAGTAGTCAATTTTTTGTGGGAACTTGGGAATGAATTTAGCTTTTCTCCAGTGCTTCCCTAGCACCAATACAACTTGATACACACTTGATCAAATCTCTTTGGCACTCTGCTCTGATTATCATTGTCCACTGATTTGGAAAGATGAGAGGTCTTATTAACGAGAGCATCCAAATGGCTCCTGCAATGCAATGCAAAATTAAATGTCACACTAAGTATTATAAACCTCATGTATTTCTTCATCCTAATTATGCCAATTGTGTTTGCTGTTAATGGTTAATATTAAATAGTAAAAAATTACTGTTGTTATAGTTACCACTAAAGTTACAGAAGCTACAATAAAGTAGTCTATATCTCTAAGCATTAAGTATCACTATAGACAATAATATATATATTTTTTATTTCAGCAAATATGTTCATTAGCTTACATCTTATAGTATTATCACCTCAAAATTTTACAAATTAATGCTCATAATTGAGGTATGCACAAAACACTGTATATAATTACTGGCTATATATATGTCGTACCTAGTAGCCAGAACTCACTTCTCAGCCTACTATGCAAGGCCCGATTTGCCTAATAAGCCTAGTTTTCATGAATTAATGTTTTTTCGACAACCTAACCTAACCTAACGTTTTTGGCTACCTAACCTAACCTAACCTATAAAGATAGATTAGGTTAGGTTAGGTAGGGTTGGTTAGGTTCGGTCATATATCTACGTTAACTTTAACTCCAATAAAAAAAAATTGACCTCATACATAATGAAATGGGTAGCTTTATCATTTCATAAGAAAAAAATTAGAGAAAATATATTAATTCAGTAAAACTTGGCTTATTAGGCAAATCGGGCCTTGCATAGTAGGCTGAGAAGTGAGTTCTGGCTACTAGGTACGACATATATATATATATATAATACAACTACTGTATTGTACTATTATAAATAATCACTGAAATCTGATTCTCTGTTTTTTATAAATAATTTATTATTATTATCATTACAGGTATTAATATACACAAAGTAGTACGGTAATTTTAAGATTTAGCATAAATTATTATATATAGCCCCTCAAGCTGTATATATATATACAGTATATCCCAGGTTTTAACATATTATAACATGATGTACAGTATGTAAAATTTTGTGGCGTCATTCCAGCTTGCATTTTCTTTACCCTCTATTTCCTGTTTTCTTGAGGGGTGACTGTCATTCTTGCTCGTTGTTTTTATTTACTGAAGTCTTATAATGTAGTTTTCACTAATGTGTATCATTCTTATAGATACGGTATATGGCAGTATTAGAGAAACAACTGTGTGGTGAAAAAACTGGATACCGAATTGATTACTTCGACAGTATCCACGCCTTCCTCAAAGATGATCCAGACACACAGGCTTTTTTAGAACAAAGGTAAGTTCCCCAGCAATGAAAAAAATAGCAGTAATCCTTTTAATTTTGCATTAAAAAAGTCACTCATGTATTGTTGACATATACAGTACATGAGTGTATCATGTGTGTATCATATACCGTACACTGTTAGTTTTATTTAGGCAATAATTGTGTTATGGTGAATGTAATTGTCACAGCATGTTCTTCAGGAAATGGCATTTTCTGTCAATTCCAGTTAACAGGAAATGGTAAATCATGCTAGCGGGTAAAGGACTATATAGTGTGTTGAGATGGGGGAAGACCAGCAAAGCCAAAGCATGCCTTTAGCACCATGGGGGCACAACAGGAAGATGGCATTCCGAATTAAAGTGATACTGGAACATAGCATAGGGCCGTGTGGAGGACTCGGAGCACAGCCTCGGTAAAACTGTGAAGTGGTGGGATGCAAGGGACCCAAACATAAACAAAAGGGCTGAAATTGGCAATGATTTATAATAATAATAATAATAATTTTTATTTAGGTAAGGTACATACATAAAGATATTTTACAAAGTTTGTTGGCTTTATAGATAGAGCTAGTACATACAATGCCTAAAGCCACTATTATGCAAAGCGTTTCGGGCAGGAAAAACATTAATGACTAAAGCTTAAAACTAATGGGTAAAAAGAATAAAATGTGTTGAGAATAAATAAAAATAGAGGTAAAAGAGGGGGGAACATTGTTGAAAAAGCAGCACAAATACAATTACAAATTATTACAGAAAATTACATTCAAACAGCGTTGATTTGAAAAACAAAAAAAAACAAAAAACATACATGGGTTGACAACAGAGGGGTATGGTAGGTTACAGGGAATTTATTAGGTATAGCTTTGTTTTTAACTTAAACTGGTTGAGAGAGGTACAGTCTTTAACATGGTTGGGAAGGTCATTCCACATTCTGGGCCCCTTGATTTGTAGAGCATTTCTGGTTTGATTAAGTCGTACTCTAGGAATATCAAAACTGTATTTATTTCTGGTGTGGTGCTCATGGGTTCTGTTACAACCTTCTATGAAGCTTTTGAGATCAGGATTGGCATTATAGTTTAGCGTTTTATATATGTATAATACACATGAGAGAATGTGCAGTGACTTATTGTCCAACATATTCAGAGATTTGAGTAGGGGTACCGAGTGATGTCTGGGGCCAGAATTGGATATTGTCCTAATAGCAGCTTTGTGTTGAGTAATTAGAGGACGTAAGTGATTTTGGGTAGTAGAGCCCCAAGAACAAATACCATAGTTGAGATATGGATAGATAAGGGATTCATGGAATTACCCAAAACCTCTTAGAATTACCTAAATATAGAAGAAATATAAAGTTTTAATTTTATAGAATTGAATTGAATTTTATGAATTTTATAAATTGTTTTATAGTTTTATAGAATTGAATTGAATATAGAACTTGAATAAGTATAATTAAAAAAAAGCTCATTTTATAACAAAATAAAACAAGAATAGGTGGAAGATGATGCAAATAATCATCTGATCTGAAATCATCTTGCTCGAAATGCTGTGTGTATTAGAGGCTTTAGGCATGGTATGTATTAGCTCTATCTAGAAATCCAACTTTCTGTTTGTAACTCATCTTGTATGTATGCACTTTTACCTGAATAAACATTTTATTTATTTTATTTGTATAATATTTTAAAGGCAATCTGAGCATCTTGTTGATTTCCTTTGGCATAATCCACCAACTAATTATTTGGTGTTATTTCATTGCAATATGAGTATTTTTTAGTAAAATTGTTGATTTGTGTTATGTATGTGCCACTCAGTAACTCGACAGCTAAGCTGCATAATCTGGATTTGTTTCTGAATCAAGTGATGGTTAAACTTGGTCACGATTTTGGGCAAGTTACCCAGAGATTAGAGTTACTGAGGCCTGAATCAGTGAGTGGCTATTGTATTCTGTTTTCTATTTCAGACGTGTCCAGCAGGATTCAAAGGACATTGGAAGACAAGTTGAACTGGATGAAGATGAATTCTCAGATATCACTTCTGATGGTAAAGCATTTACATTTATTTGTTCAATTGACATTAACAACACTATCACAATATTTATAATAATAGAAGGTTATTTTTCTTATAAAATGTTATTGTCTGGTTTGTGCTATTCATGTTTATCAGAGTTGTAAAAGACACCGATAAACTGGCTTTGCGCCCTGGAGAAGCCACTCCAGACCGACAACCAGAGCGCAACTCCAGAGTCTCCTTTGACTGATGGATGTCTACATTGAAGACACCTACATCCCACTCCATGCTATCTTTAAATTTCGATTCCCATTTATCTTTGCTGGCCTTATAACACACCACCTGTTTTTTTGTTACTATGGGAGCCGGTCGGCCGAGCGGACAGCATGCTGGTCTTGTGATCCTGTGGTCCCGGGCGCCGGCGAGAAACAATGGGCAGAGTTTCTTTCACCCTATGCCCCTGTTACCTAGCAGTAAAATAGGTACCTGGGTGTTAGTCAGCTGTCACGGGCTGCTTCCTGGGGGGTGGAGGCCTGGTCGAGGACCGGGCCGCGGGGACATTAAAAAGCCCCGAAATCATCTCAAGATAACCTCAAGATGGTTCTTTCTCAAGCTTTGTATAAGTGCCGTGGGAATCCACTTATATAGAGTAAGCACTTGTCCTCAGATTCTGGTCTACCATATATATATGTATACTGTGTATGTATGTATTGTAGATAGGCATCCACAATGTATACAGTACTGTATATAGGAAAGGGGTTTAGGTAGTCATTGGAAGATTTTCCCAATCTGCAGGCAGTTTTTCTCTTTGCTCAAATACAACTACAGTAATAACCATGGGGAGCTTTGCTACATTTTTCACTTCTTTCTCTTAGCAAGATCTTATCTTGAGGTTATCTTGAGATGATTTCGGGGCTTTTTAGTGTCCCCGCGGCCCGGTCCTCGACCAGGCCTCCACCCCCAGGAAGCAGCCTGTGACAGCTGACTAACACCCAGGTACCTATTTTACTGCTAGGTAACAGGAGCATAGGGTGAAAGAAACTCTGCCCATTGTTTCTTGCCGGCGCCTGGGATCGAACCCGGGACCACAGGATCACAAGTCCAGCGTGCTGTCCGCTCGGCCGACCGGCTCCAATAGTAGAAATAGAATCTTAATGTTAAAATAGATTACAGAGACAGGTTTGGTGCAAGATAGCAGAGCTAGAAAATATACTGTATATAGAATAAGTGCAACACTTAAACTATTTGGATTGCCTGAAAACACTCACATTGTACTACTGTACTTGGAATGGAGACATATAAAGGGGCAACAGCTTTAAGCTCAAGCCACAATGTAGGACAGAAAACGAGAGATGATTTTTCACCCAAAGGTTCATTCCATGCCAAATCACACAACTCCCAACCTGACCATCTCAGAAAGTGAAATTTAGTAGGGATTAATTACCTAAGTGTAGTTACAGGATGAGAGCTATGTTCGGGGTGTCCCGTCTTCCCAGTACTCTGTCGTATGACGCTTTGAAATTCCTGACGATTTTTTCCTCCACCACCTTAGCTTGTTTCAACTTGAATACACTTAGCTTGTTTCAACCATCTACCACTCTGTTTGCAAAAGAAAACTTTGTAATATTTTTTTGGTACCTTTGTTTCCTTAGCTTGAATTGGTGTCCTCTTGTTCGTAAAGTTGCTGGTTTTGGGAATTCCTCTTTGTCTATTTGGGTGATTGCTGTTTGTATTTTGTAAGTAGTGATCATATCTCCTTTTTCTTCTATCTAGTTTTGGCATGTTTAATGCCTTTGGTCTCTCCTCGTAACTCTTATTTTTCAGTTCCGGAAGCCATTTTGTTGCATACCATTGCACCTTTTCCAGTTTATTTATGTGCTTCTTGAGATTTGGGCACCATACAACTGCTGCATATTCCAGTTTTGGTCTCACAAAAGTCATGAACAGTTTCTTTAGTATTTTATCATCCATATAATAAAAAGTAAGTTTGAAGTTAGAGAGCAATGTACAGGTATACACTCCTTTCACAATGTTCTTTGTGTTCCTCTGGCAACTGCTTGCAATCCAAAACCATCCCTTGAGTTATCTTGAGATGATTTCGGGGCTTAGCGTCCCCGTCGCCTGGTCCTTGACCAGGCCTCCTTTTTGTTATACACTCCCAGGAAGCAGCCTATAATAGCTGTCTAACTCCCAGCTACCTATTTACTGCTAGGTGAACAGGGGCATCAAGGTGAAAGGAACTTCCCATTTGTTTCTGTCTCCACCAGGAATCAAACCCAGAACCTCAGGACTATGAATCCCAAGTGCTGTCCACTCAGCTGTCAGGCCCCTGTCCAGGTCCTTAGGTCTTGTTCTTTATTATAGTTCTGTAATTCCTTTCCATATAATTTGTAAGTTGTGTGGGGTCTATTTTCTCCACTTCCACATTCCATAACATGGCATTTATTCATATTGAAACCCATTTTGCCACTTGTCGCTCCAAGCACTTATTTTATCTAGATAAATTTGAAGACCATCACAATCGTCTGTCTCCTATCTTCCTCAGTGTCTTAGCATCATCCGCAAACATGTTCATATAATTCTGTATTTCTTCAGGTAGATGGTTTATGTAGATGAACATTACTGGTGCTGTACCCTGTGGTACTCCGCTAGTAACACTCCTCCAGTCATATACTTTCTCTGATTACATGAAGTACTTGTGAGTACATGAAGCAATATGCATGTGCAAATTTTTAGCCCTCAGTGATGCATGATACTCATACAGCAGGGTTGACATTGTGGTAAAAAATACAACTTTTTACTTACAAGTTCATCAAACAAATCGTAATTTCTAATTGAAGTCGAAGTTTCATGTTGGGCTTGTTTTGATGCTAAGGAAACATTGTTATTTATATAAATAGCTTTACATTGCATGAAAGGTTTGTGACTTGCATCTATAATGCTGCTTGGTGGTTAGGTTGTGTCATGACTGTGAATGCAACTTCACAGGAGGTTTTGATTGGTTCCCCACATCCTAGTCAATCATCCCAATCATGGGAGATTGGGACGAGGGGAGCAGGTCGGCCGAGCGGACAGCACACTGGACTTGTGATCCCAGGCGCCGGCAAGAAACAATGGGCAGAGTTTCTTTCACCCTATTCCCCTGTTACCTAGCTCGTGGCCATAGTAGCATGTATTGCATGTTACCTAGCAGTAAAATAGGTACCTGGGTATTAGTCAGCTGTCACGGGCTGCTTCCTGGGGGTGGAGGCCTGGTCGAGGACCGGGCCACGGGGACACTAAAGCCCCGAAATCATCTCAAGATAATCTCGTGTGTGTGTATCTTCACTAGTCAGACATATTGAACATTGCAATTGAATAAGCTCTCATGAAGGTTGATCCCACATACTGCAACTGGGTGGTGATCTTACACACTAACTGCTGCAAACATTCAAAAGCTCAGAAGAAGCACTGCAGAGGAGAAGGCACTAACTTGTTATAATTGTAAGTGTCCTTACATCCCTTACGTATGTGTGATCCCACATACTGCAACTGGGTGGTGATCTTACACACTAACTGCTGCAAACATTCAAAAGCTCAGAAGAAGCACTGCAGAGGAGAAGGCACTAACTTGTTATAATTGTAAGTGTCCTCAAAGCTGTATATACCATAATATTTACTGTATATTTCATTCTTTGTTACAGGGATTTCTATAAACAAGCACTAAGGTATTTCACTGAATGTGAGGTACCTTCATGATTTTGTTTTACTTGTTCCAAAACCATGCCAAACTGAAACTTATACTAAAGACAATGCATTTTACTGTATTACATATTTTACCCCAAAATTAAAGAGACTTTTTTTAAACATATTCAAGGTCAAAGGTAACAAAGTGATCCTGAAATTAAAAAAAATAAGTATTTAATGATAAACTATTGTTAATGAAAACAATGCTTCCTTAGCCTCAAAACAAACACAGTATAAAGGTTCTACCTCGATTAGAAGTTATGATTTTTTTTTTAGCTTGAGTAAAAATGTTTACATATTTTCACATTGACAACTTAACTGTATGAATATCATGCATCACCAAGTGATGAATATCATGCATCATCAACATTTTGCATAAGTTACTTCATGTCCTTTACCATCCTTTCAAATTTCATGGTTATCCAAGATAGTCAGGTTGACAAGTTCACTTTTTTGTGATGATTTGGCATGGAGTGACTCTAGGGTTATAGACCCATGGAACTGCCTACCTGCTGAAGCCCTAAATACCAAAACATTACTGTAGGTTTAAAATACTGTACTGTATTTAGAAAAAATCTTCAGGGAAATGGGGAAATCTTTGACAAGCTGCCAGCTTGCTGTTCCCTTCAAAGCCACCAGTGAGTTGGTAGCCCTTGGGTAAATTCAGGTAATACTGGAGGGTTAGGTCCCATACCTCTTGAGGTTATCTTGAGATGATTTCGGGGCTTTAGTGTCCCCGCGGCCCGGTCCTCGACCAGGCCTCCACCCCCAGGAAGCAGCCCGTGACAGCTGACTAACTCCCAGGTACCTATTTACTGCTAGGTAACAGGGGCATTCAGGGTGAAAGAAACTTTGCCCATTTGTTTCTGCCTCGTGCGGGAATCGAACCCGCGCCACAGAATTACGAGTCCTGCGCGCTATCCACCAGGCTACGAGGCCCCTGCATAACTCAATTTCAGTATACAGTACTGGAGTGAAAGATATGATAAAAGGTTAAATAAATCCAATGAGTAGCCGGGGCACCATAGTCCCGATTAGAGAATACACAGTAAACAAGAAAGGTCCTTGACTTTAGTCACCTGCCTACAAACATTCCATACCAACCCTGTAAAAAGTATTGCTAGAATAATGGTAAAAACTTTCAAATGAGAACATGACAAGTTTCTTAGTTTCTTCTGAATTTACCTGATTAGGAGAGAGATAGCTGTGATGGGTGTGTGGCAATGCGACATATGAAGATATAGTTCCATAGACCAGGCAATCACCAAGGAAGGCTGGTCTCAGGCCAGACTGTGATAGGAGAAGAACTTGAAATTGTCTATAGGAATGTACTCTAGAAAGGAGGTGAGAGAGATCTCAAATAATATATACAGGTACCTGGAACATAATGGAGGGCCAGGTCCCAAATTTATACCGTAAAATTACAAAATGCTGGAGTGAACAAAATGGAAGGAAATGCAGAAGAGCCACCAGTGAAGAACAGAAGTTCCATAGGCACAATCAGAGAAAACGGTACGAACATCAGAGGTCCACTGTTGTTCAACATTCTCCTATTGAGTACAAGAAATATTGCTGGAACAAAAGTGTCGTACTTCAAGAGAAAACTGGATAGTTTTCTTCAAGAAGTGCTGGACCAACCGGGCTGTAGTAGATAAGTGTATGTAGGCCTACTGGCTGCTCCAAGCAACAGCCTTTTAGACCAAACTCTCACAAGTTGAGCCTAGCCCCAGGCCTGGCTTAGGGAGTAGAACTCCCAGAATCCCATCTATGTACTGTACACTTCAGGTAATTAATCGATATGTAATGTTAACATACCTATAGCTTACAGAGAGGTTTGGGTATTTTTACAATATCAGGTTTTGGGAAAGTCCCACTTAGGTTTTGTTGCTTAAGCTCTGTTACCAGGCCTGTGAGAGACTTGTTGACCTGGGGCCAGATTCACGAAGCAGTTACGCAAGCACTTACGAACGTGTACATCTTTCCTCAATCTTTGACGGCTTTGGTTACATTTATTAAACAGTTTACAAGCATGAAAACTTCCCAATCGACTGATGTTATTGTTATAAACGGCCTCCTGGTGCTTCGGAGCTCATTAACTGTTTAATAATTGTAAACAAAACCATCAAAAATTGAGAAAAGATGTACAGGCTTGTAAGTGCTTGCATAACTGCTTCGTGAATCTAGCCCCTGGGAGTTAGGACTAGATAATTCTCAGAAATAAGGAGTTAAGTGGAATGAAATGTTTCTTTCTGAATGGCACATCTGTTGCTCCCTGAACACTTGGGCAGACTTGGCCTAAAGGAGGAGTTGTTACCACCTCTGATCCTGTTGTACCAGTTACTGCTGGTACCCGTTGGCTGTAAGTGTAGGCAGTAGTTTGCTAGTTATGTAAAATATACTCGGAATGATCTAGCTTTTCTTCGGGGTCATTTGTACCTGGATTGTACCTGGATTGTACCTGGATGGGGATTTTGGGAGTTCTCTACTTGCCAAGCCTGGCCCAGGGCCAGTTGCTTTGCTCTTTGGTGTCATTGCAAGCAGTTTATCTTGGTGGTGGATTTAGGTACTGTATGTTCTCCATTGTGATCTATGCTATATTACAGGGCAAGACAATTTTCAAAGTTACTCGTCTCACGGTGCTCAAAGTCATCCAGTTCTTGGCATACTAAGTCACTGGAGTGGACTTGTGGTCCTAACTGTAGTACAGTTCAGAAAGGAGAGTTTCATTCCACTCGCTGTCCTATTTTTAAATATGTAGCCTTTGTAAGAATAATGACTTTGAGCATCTTTTCAGGTCCCATGGAATGGACAGACAAGTCAGTACAACTGCTTCTTGACTTGCTGTTAGAATTTAGAGATTGGTTCACTGATAAAGACCCAGATCGTGATGACAGCACTATTTGGGAGGTAAGTGGAAGTTGTGATACAGACAATAAGTCAATGTTATCAATTCTTTAATTTAATTTTCAGATTTGTGGGTTGTCCGTTCAGTTGTGATAATCATTTTGAATGTTAATGCAATTTTTAGTTAAAATATGAATTTATTATATTTTGAAATTCAATTTTTGTGGTGATAAAAAAATAGTAATCTGGCATGCTTTTACTAAATAACCCAAGCCACATGTATAAAAAGAAACAATGCAAATGATCATTGCAGTGGGATAATTACCCTGACTGTGATGCACTTGACTGCCTCCAGATACCTTGAGGTGCTTCCGGGGCTTAGCGTCCCCGCAGCCCGGTCGTCGACCAGGCCGCGGGGATAGCATATGATTTCAACCAGCCTGCCGTCTCTCTCTTTTCCAGTTGATATCATTTGCTGTTCAACCAAATAGTGCTTGTTTTCCTTAGAACATTAGTTTCGCTGGAGGCCATTACTCTAAATTCTTACTTGTTTCATGAATCAATTTATTCCATTAACATTGCATGTGCCCAAACATTTCATTTTGCTCCACGTTTGACCAGGGTTGCTTTTCCTGGGATTTCCAGGTATTGCGTGAAATTTATTCTCCTTCAGAATGTGTGCTTGTGCATGTTAAAGACTTGCCTGTCATGCTGCTTCTGCTTCTGTGTTGTTTTAAGGAGCTTGCATTTATGCAGAGGGTGCATTTGGCTTGTAATCTTGTACCCTCCCATGCTGAGTGTTTGTGGCTGGGGTTCTGTGTTTACTAAGCTGGGGTGTTCTCCCTGTGCCCAGTACACTTCCCTGTTTGAGACGATTCAGGTGGCCGGTGTCTTTCATCTCGGTAGAATTTATTGTTTGTGTGTGTTTTTGACTGGGTTTTTGGCCTTGATGGCGCACCTCTTGCTTGTGTTTTAGAGGAGAAGGGAAGTGACCTCCCCTTTTTTCTTTGAATATTTTGGGTGTTCTTTGATCTTCATCTGGGGTTGGGTGTGAACTCTGTTCTATATACAGTGTGCGTGTGGCCTTTTTGTGCAATATTGAACTGTTGGGGGTCAAAGCTGTGTGTCACTAATTTCTCATGTCTTATTCCAAGGCCAACTCTTTCAAGGTCCTCTGGTGGTTTGGTTCAGGCAGCCAGTATCCTCAGTCTGGGGATGGCAAGTATTTGCTGCTTTGCCCTTTTGTTCAATACAGTACTGATGTTCAGGTTTGAGGTTCCTGGTGGTCCTTCTGATGACCTCTTGTTCCATGTTGGTTGTCTATCAGTCTTGCCATGCTCATGTACTCTTGGGCATTTGATACGTGATTGCTGTTCTTTGTCCTGTGCCCACCTCTCCTGCCATCCTCTCCTCACTGGTTAACCCAGTCTGAATTTTTTGTTTTGTTTTGAAAAGGTGATCATCTTTGTTGAGGTACTATTGTTAATAAGCTCATGAGCCACAGAGGAGTCCCTCCTAGAAATCAAGTGTTGAATGTGATGAAATGCACTTTTCTAGTGGCCTCAAATATCCCTCCCAACTTGTTCAGTACTTAAGTCTCGAGGAGATCAGCCCTATCATGTCTGGTTTGCAGTGTTGTTAGTCCTGTAGCTCTCACTTTCTCAAGCATTCCTGTTATGAACTAACTTAATTCTGGGATAATTTTTGTCAATCTGTGATGAACTGTGTTGAAAAAATGTACTTTTGAAGGTGAGGTTTAAATGCTTGGATACAGTAGACCAAATGGAGGCATGCCAGAGACTTTTACAGCTGAGTAACCACTTTCTTTTCCTTGAAATCAATGGGTCATTTTAATATTGCTAGGGTTTGATTATTTTTTTTTAGTTTTTTACATCTTCATAGCCACACATGAAGAGTGACATTCATATTATTTTACTCACAAATGTCACTGCTTATCTTTTTCAGACGGTATCAGACCAAATGAAGATGGAGGGGCACCAACCAGGACCAGATCAATGCAAGCGAAAGTGGACCAATCTGGCACTGGGCTTCGAGCACCACAAGGCTGAGGCAGAAGCCACAGGGACAGTGCCGTTGTGGCCTTATTACACTCGGGTCAGACACGTTATGAACCTTGTTGGTCTTCCCGCTCCAGGTAGTTATTTATTTATTTATTTATTTATTTATATATATACAAGAAGGTACATTGGGATTGTGAGGATACATAGCATAGTAATTACATTCTTGTAAAGCCACTAGTACGTGCAGCATTTCGGGCAGGTCCTTAATCTAAGAAAATTTTAAGTAGGTAAATACTTGCAAAATTTATAAAAATGACAAAAGTTACATAGCAAGAAAAAAATAAAAGCTGAGAAAAAATTGTAGGTATATTAAAGTACATAGGCATTGTTTGTGATTATCTTTGTGCCCATGGTGGGATGTGGCTATGGGGGTCCAAGATGGGATGTGGCTATGGGGGTCCAAGATGGGATGTGGCTATGGGGGTCCAAGATGGGATGTGGCTATGGGGGTCCAAGATGGGATGTGGCTATGGGGGTCCAAGATGGGATGTGGCTATGGGGGTCCAAGATGGGATGTGGCTATGGGGGTCCATGATGGGATGTGGCTATGGGGGTCCAAGATGGGATGTGGCTATGGGGGTCCAAGATGGGATGTGGCTATGGGGGTCCAAGATGGGATGTGGCTATGGGGGTCCAAGATGGGATGTGGCTATGGGGGTCCAAGATGGGATGTGGTTATGGGGGTCCATGGTGGGATGTGGCTACAGGGGTCCAAGATGGGATGTGGCTACAGGGGTCCATGGTGGGATGTGGCTACAGGGGTCCAAGATGGGATGTGGCTACAGGGGTCCATGGTGGGATGTGGCTACAGGGGTCCATGGTGGGATGTGGCTATGGGGGTCCATGATGGGATGTGGCTATGGGGGTCCATGATGGGATGTGGCTATGGGGGTCCATGATGGGATGTGGCTATGGGGGTCCATGATGGGATGTGGCTATGGGGGTCCATGATGGGATGTGGCTATGGGGGTCCATGATGGGATGTGGCTATGGGGGGTCCAAGATGGGATGTGGTTATGGGGGTCCAAGATGGGATGTGGCTATGGGGGTCCAAGATGGGATGTGGCTATGGGGGTCCAAGATGGGATGTGGCTACAGGGGTCCATGGTGGGATGTGGCTACAGGGTCCAAGATGGGATGTGGCTACAGGGGTCCATGGTGGGATGTAGCTACAGGGGTCCATGGTGGGATGTGGCTATGGGGGTCCATGATGGGATGTAGCTACAGGGGTCCATGGTGGGATGTGGCTATGGGGGTCCATGATGGGATGTGGCTATGGGGGTCCATGATGGGATGTGGCTATGGGGGTCCATAATGGGATGTGGCTATGGGGGTCCATGATGGGATGTGGCTATGGGGGTCCATGATGGGATGTGGCTATGGGGGTCCACGATGGGATGTGGCTATGGGGGTCCATGATGGGATGTGGCTATGGGGGTCCATGATGGGATGTGGCTATGCGGGTCCATGATGGGCACCATTCCTTTCCCCCGTTCCATCTCAAATCCTTATCCTGATCCCTTCCAAGTGCTATATAGTCATAATGGCTTGGCACTTTCCCCTGATAGTTCAATTCAATTCAATTCCTTAGGCACCTAGGCGAGTAAAGGGTGAAGCCACTTCCAGATTAGGATGTTGTAAAGCTGGATGGCTACTCAACACCAGTAATGTAGCAAAAACAGCTAAAGTGCCAAAATGAACAGTTACTGTATTGTCCTAAGAAAAAGACTCAAAAGTTTATAGGATCTATAGCAAACTACATTAGAAATAATGTGGCAGCTACTTAATTATCCTCAAGATATTCCAAATTTTCAGAAATTCTATTGGAATCAATGTAAGATTCCCATTAATTTCACATGCCATCCATAAACTGATTTACCACTAAACACATTTGTAATTATATTAATACATGTTCCCAAGAAGTTCCACGAATCAAGCAGTTTTCTATCAACCAAATTACAAACAACAAAGTCTGGAAAATAGTCAGGTGAAGAGGAATGTGAAGGCCATCAGAACCACAGAATGTTAGTCAAACTCCATAAGTGGTTCAGTGTCAAATGCTCTGGATAAACCGTGGAGCTTCTCTGATATCATCGATATTCATCAGCATACTATGTAACACTTGATGGGCCGCCATGTTGTCACACCACTTCTTGTCATGCTTCATCATCAAACCCCTGTATACTGTACAACATTTGTGAAAATTTATGTATTTAGTTATTAAATTTATTTTACTCAAAACTAAAGTACAGAGTAACAATAAAATGTTATATATCACTACCTCTAAATCCTCTTTAAAAAAGTGGGAGGGCTATAAGGTGCCAACATTACCTGAAAATAGAACTCATCAGCTCCTGCAGTTAGGCACACTAGCCCTCAGCTTCATAGGTAGACTGTCGAGAGTAGGGCTCAAACAGGGTTGTGGCCTAACCTCACAAATCACACACCCTGGGGTGAAATCAGCTCTGCATCTATCAAGAAGAATACCTGAAGCAGCATAAGTGACTGTCAGTACTAAAGAAAACCATCTGACACTCCCAAAATGCAAACCATAGAATTGGAACCAATCCTGATCGTTCTCTGAAACAATTTTCCATATTTCAGGCTGAAGGGGACCACCAGTGATGAAAAACAAGGAGAAATAACAAAGAATCACATCCTTTTAAAAGGATGAAAAACTTTTTAAAACCTTTTAAAAGAAAGGAAAACTTTCCTTTTTAAGACTGATCATAGCCCAGTCGAGAGAGCTACGACCTCACATGCGTGGGGTCCATGGTTCAAGACCCATACAGTCAAAGTGAACGGAATGTTAATTCCCACGAAAGTGTGGATGTTAATTAAATGTTCATAGTCTTTATATATAACCATCCAGAAGGAATATAGAATTACTGTACAGTATATGAATGTGTTTACTGATGATGCCAAGCTACTAAGAAAAATAAGAAATTTAGACGATTGTCATGCCCTTCAAGATGACCTGAACAAAATATGTACAGTATATGGAGCAACACTTGGCAAGTGGAATTTAATGTGAATAAATGCCACATTATGGAATGTGGAATAGGAAAAAAGGCCACACTGAACTTACAAATTACGTGAAAAAAAATTAAAAAAAATTTGATAAAGAGATCCAAGGGTGGTTCTTGATAAAGAAAAAGCTATCACCTGAGGACCACATAAAGAACATTGAGCGAGGAGCATAATGCTATGCTTTCCAACTTTAGAATTGCTTTTAAATACATGGTGGCTGAAATGTTAAAGAAATTGTTCATGACTTTTGTGAAACCAACGTTGGAATATGCAGCAGTTATATGGTGCCCATATCTCAAGAAGCACATCATTACACTAGAAAAAGTGCAAAGACATGCAACTAAATGACTTCCAGATCTAAAAAACAAGAGGTTTGAGGAGTTAAATATACCAAAGATAGAAGAAAAAGAAGTGATATGATCACTACGTATAAAATAGTAACAGAAATTGACAAAATTGACAACCAAGAACTTTTCAAAAGTGTAACATCGTGAGCAAGAGGACATTAGGTTCTAACTAAGGAAACAAAGCTGTCAAAAAAAATTAGAAAGTTCACTTTTGCAAGCTAAATGGTAGACTGTTGGAGCAAGATAAGTGAAAAAATGTTGAAAGGCAAATCCATCAGTAGTTTCAAAGTGATATATAACAGAATACTGGGAAGACGGGACACCACAAGCATGTCTCTCATCCTGGAACTACACGTAGGTAATTACTATTATATCAGCCCAATACCAAGTCATTAGATACTGTGAAAGTCGTGGTCATTTCAATAGTAGAAAAACCATGCTAAAGGCACAACTAAACAGCACAAAGAAGAGAACTGAATGTTGAGAGGAAAAGATCCATATATGCAAAAGAATGTATGCCCATGTTATGTGAAGCATACGCAACCCTAAGCTCTCTCTAATGAAACTAATTTCTGTAGAAACAGGCATTGTCCGGGAATTATCAGGCAAAATGAGAGGCAAGCGAGTCTGTCACCTTGCTAACACTCAAGGTGCTACAATGCGTTTGTTGTTTAGAGTAGAGGCGAGTTTGTTTTGATTAGTAGGTAATGGATTGATAATTGTCATTCCTTGCAAAACTGAGTATTTTTTATAGGGTTTTGAATTTAAATGAAAGTTTATTTTGATGGTCTTACTGGGTTGAATTTAGAAATCTCAAATGTTTGCCTTATTTCATTTTCATATTATAGACAGTTTGAACCACCCAAACCATGGATCGGAGGATGTAGAGAGAGATCTAGTGGTGATTGATTCTGTCCTGTGACCTGTGCATTTGCTTCAGAAAGCAACAGAGAGGACAGGTTCAGAGACCCCCATTTATGTACAGTACATCCCCCACCTATTACTCAATAGATTCCCTGTGCTGATATTACACCACCCTGTGCTCATTACACTATCCTTGTACTATACATACTTCACCATCCTTGTACTCATTTCACGTTTTGTAATCACAAATCCTGCAGGCATTACACCCGCACTACTCATTTACTCACCCTGTTTGTATCAAGACATGTGCTGACTTCAGTTACATTTACACTCATGTAATCAAACTGTTCGGTTTATAATTACATGGGCAATGCATTACTTATTTAATGTGTTTTACACTTGACCATAGCTTAAATTATTATTTGTTTTTCTTAGATAATGAAGGCAGAAATAAATTGAAGCGAAGAATAAGAGGTACACAGAATAGTCCTAAGAAGAAGAGCCAAAGATACTTCAAGCAAGAAATAGAAGATATGGATGAAAGTTTATTAGAGGAAGCTGTTGAAGAACCTGTGGACAAGATGGAGCCATCCACCTCATGTGGGGCATCAGGAGGATCTGTAAAATTAACTGGTACTCCAAATGGTGTTATTTTGCCAGGTGAAATTAAAGAGGTATGTCAAAGATTAGAACGTTTAGAAAAGAATGTGGCAATCTGCCGCAGACTTGATCGCCTAGAAGCCAGGCTGGACGATACAGCACAACAAAGGGAAGCACAACAGCAAACAAATTCATTACTAGCTCAGGTTTTATCCGAATTATCACGCCTTAGTCGCACGTTGAGTACGCGGTACCATCATTCAGGATCAGGACAAGATCATGCAGACTTGGGTGGGGGTATTACAATAGTAGTACCTCATTCACAACACTTAGAGTGAAGTTTGGTTTTTAAAAATACTGTATAGATTTGACACACATTTAATATATTACTCATATTAACCCTCGAGCTGTGTGCCTGTTATTCCTTTACAATCCTGTGGTGTGCAAGGAAAAAAATAAATTAAACAAAAATTTGTTTTATTTTAAGATTTTTAAAATGCAGCCTCTGATCACAGGAAAAAAAATTTGTATGCAACATACTTTGGCAGTGATGGAGCGACGAATTCTGGCAATTTACAGACTTTGAGCACTTGACCACTGCCGTCTGTCCGAACCCACCATGGGGTGGGAGTTTCCTTGAAAATGTATTTACATGTTTATTTCATTGTCTGTTTTTTTTTTTTTTTTTTTTTTTTAAGTAATATTCAGTTGTGTGTAATTTGATAAATTTATGTAATAAAATGTGTGGATTGTAACTATATTGTACTAAAAAATATGGTGTGCATATTAGTGATACTGTTACAGTATTACTGTATATTCTCAGACCAATAAAGTATTTTTGCTGTTATTATACTGCATATTCCGTACACTATTTATATATATATAACTACACTTTCATGCACCATTACAAACCACTAAGCATTTCTGGGGAGTAATAATCTTATCTTATAAAGGGTCCCGGTAGTACAGTCGGGTTCATTCTCGACGCACACTGGTGAATTCCAGGTTTGAATCCTGGGTGGGACAGAAATGGTTGGGCACTTTTCCTTTCACCTAATGGGCCTGTTCACCTAGCAGCAAGTAGGTACTCGGGATTAAATTTATTTATTTATTTATTTATTTATTTATTTATTTATGCATATACAAGAATGTACATAAGGAATGTGAGGATACAAATATGGTAATTACAGTCTTGTAAAGCCACTAGCACGCGCAGCGTTTCGGGCAGAAATCAGCTTGTTGTGGGGTTGCATCCTAGGTGGGGTCAGTAATTCGACCTGGGGGGGGGGGCAGAACTCGATAAAAGCCTAACGAGAAAGTATGAATACACTCTGGCTTCCTGTCCCCTGATATAGTGAATTATAATGGTTATCAGTTCAGCCTGATTTCACATTTTTTGCACTTCTTACAGCACACATTGAGGGTATATTTTCTTAATATTTTGAATGTTTTTACTATGGTTTTTCCAATGCAGTGTTGTATTGGGCCATCAATATTATTTGTATCATAGTTTTAGTTTAGTTCATTTATTATGCACCTCATACCCATCTTGTGGGTGGTAGTGGAATAGGTTACAGAGGCACATAAAGGGCTCGGGGACTGAACAAGTTACAATCTTGATGAGCTAGTTACAAAATTCAGTATAAGACGTCACATCATAAATGGGTTCGAGATCGACCACAAGTACAGTTTCTGTCACAATTGATATATTTGTCCTGCACACCGCATAGAATGTGTAGAATATTGGTACAGTGCACAGATATATTCGGTTCACTAATGAGTTAAATATAATATTCTTTGAACAATAAAACAATGTTTTTGCTGTTATTACACTATATATGCACACACATTATATGTACTGTAACTATCTACATTTACATATTCTGACCAATTTTTATTTCATTTGTTTAAATCTGACCAATCTTGAAAACAGGGATTAGTCAGATTTTGCCCAAATTGACCAGCAGTTTTGAAAATAGAATGTCTATCAGAAATATGACTCTTTAGCATTATTCTTGAGCCAAAATCTGGCTCATTGCACATATTTTGAGTTTTAAATTATTGTACGACTTTTTATACCGAAAATATGTAAAGTAGTGAAAATGGCTATTGGTCAGATTATATATATATAATTACGGGTTCCAGGCAGAGATAGTTACAGCCTCCCTTTCATTCGAGGCCGGCCTTCTTCAAGACCAAGCAGAAGGAAGAGTGATAATTATTAAATACAACAATTATTATAACAATAATATAATTAATAATTATCACTCTTCCTTTGCTTATTCTTGAAGGAGGCCGGCCTCAGGTGAAAGGGGGCTGTAACAATCTGTCTGGAACCTGTAGGTGCAGGACTGGGACGTCCACCTCCAGAGGGTCGTGCGGCCCAAGCTCTGCTTCAGGAGGCTGGGGTAGTTCATACCCTTCCTTAATGGGGTGGTTCTTCTCCGGTCCCGTCCACGGCGGTCTCCGGGTTTGGAGTCCCTGTGCCTTTTTTCATCACAGTTCCTGCGACGGCGCTGGAACCAATCGTATTGGAGTTTGCCTTTACATTGGAGACTTTCGGCGCCGTGGAGAAGGGGGACCTGCTGCATGGGTAACGGCTTCTCCATATCAACCTACCCAGGCTTTGCACCCTGGAGAGGCCACTTCAGACCGACAGCCAGAGCGCAACTCCATAGTCTCCTGAGACTGATGGATGCCTACTCTATATATATAATATATGTACTGCACAGGGAGGAGGTGCTGCCAATCACCAGGAAGCAGCCAAATCGTGTAAATACAGAGATCTTGATCACCACTACAATTTTGTCCCCATTGTCTCGGAGACACTTGGTGCCTGGGATAAAAGTGCTGCTAGTTTTTTGAAAGAGTTGGGTTCCAAGCTAACTGAAACAACTAGAGATCCTAGAGCCACCAGTTTCCTCTTTCAGCGCCATAGTGAGATGATCCAGAGAGGAAATGTTCACTGCATCCATGGTTCCTGCCCGCCATCTGAGGAGCTGGAGGAGCTCTACAACCTGTGACGAGTAACCTTGTACCCTGCATGTAACCAATGTTGTAACCCTTTTTGTGTAATGGAATTTAAAAAAAAAAAAAAAAATTATATATATATATATATATATATATATATATATATATATATATATATATATCAATCACACACAGTTGATTGACAGTTGAGAGGCAGGACCAAAGAGCCAGAGCTCAACCCCCACAAGCACAAATAGGCGAGTACAAATAGGTTAGTACATACACCTATACATGCACGCACATACAAAAAAGAATAGGGGTGGTAGGGGAAGAAAATCTCAGTGTTCAGTGAGGATCCACAAGGTCCTCTCAGAGTCCTCTTTATTTTCTTTTCCGAGGCTATGGGTCCCTACACTTGCACAAGAGGTGGTACTTTTTTTTTTTTTTGTAACATTTAGGTACATCTAATATATTTGTGCAGCTACCCTAGACTATATGAGGGGAAGTACAGAAGTAAAATAAACTAGCCACGTGATGCTAAAAATTCCCATCATATAGGAGGGTTAGTCATACGGGGCCATATGTTCAATAGCCTGCACTGGCAAATTTTGGGTGTATTATGAGGAGAGTGGATAAAGTAATTGCAAAGCTGCAGGTACCTCATCCCAGTGGGTCTGATAACTGGGCATTCGGTGATGTAGTGTGCGAGATCATGCCCCAGTTCCTGCTCACAGAGTTTGCACCTGGAGTGCTCAGGATTGGGAGACTCGTCGCCTGTAGCCACCTGCCACAGGTAACGGTAATCCAACCTGATTCTGGCAAACACTGTGTCGCACAGTGGACCGGGACCAAAGAGCCAAAGCTCAACCCCCGCAAGCACAACTAGGTGAGCACAGTCCAGTAGACGTTATTGTGCTGCCCATACACATAGGTTTTAGATCTGAACAAATCATAGCTTTTTATACTGGTGATTTCAGGTCGTTAGGAGAGAAATTACCGACTTCAGTGAGTGTTTGGAACAATATAGTTTTGACAGCAGAGATGGGGATACCTAGGCCTAATTCAACTTAATTTTTGTTACACGCTAATTTGGCTGCAATGTCTGTCATTTTTTATGATGGGTTATATTGATGCGAGATATCCATACAAAGGAGATTCGAAATCCTTTAATCTGTGCAGCATTTTCATGCTTGTAAACTGTTAAATAAATGTAACCAAAGCCGTTAAAGATTGAGGAAAGATGTACACGTTCGTAAGTGCTTTCGTGAATCTGGCCCTGTCAGCCACACAACTGAGCCACATTACTCAAAAATTATCCTCGTGGCTTCATTCTGTACTACTACAAGTTTGTCCAAAAGGTCGTGTTGACTTGCATGATTCTCTCGAGTCTGGTTGGAAGCTTCAGTTCTTCCCTCTGTAATCCTTATTGTGCTGCCGCTCACAAGATGAGTATGGGGTGCACAATAAACTAGCCGCCGCCGGTAACAATCAATTCCCTCATGTTGTTGATTCTTGTGCATCTTGGCGCACCAAGAATTATCCTCGCTACAGAAGTTTGTCCAACACAAAGGCGGGGAAGTTAGTTAAGTGCAAGGCATGATAATCAACGTGAGATCTAACAAACATCATGTAGAATAATCTAACATATTTACTATTGATACCAATATTCTTACCAGTAAGTGTTTTCATTGGTTTAAGTTTTTCTTTTAACCTACAGTGTAGATCGTTTACAATGTCTCTGTTGATATCAAGTTTCAGTGTTCTGGTTGTTGACCTTGAAAGTTAAGAGGGACAAGAGTTTTCTCTTGGAGATGGAGAGCTCTGGATTTAGTTAGAGATAAGACCACATTGAATGCTTTTAGCAGCGAGTGAATCAAGTAGAGCTTGCGGTCTAGTTTGGGTATTTGAAACAATACATATGTTATCCGCATAACAGATGACGGCTTCGTCAGCTAGTGTGGGAATATCGAGTGTTAATTTTGAACAGTGTTGGGCCTAGCACTCCACCCTGGGGTGTGCCCAACTCAAAGGGTGCACAATGTTTACTTTTCACACCCTTGAAAAGGATTGAAGTGGTTCTGTTACTCGGGTAACCTCTGAGCCATGTCAACAGTCTTCCCTTAACTCCAAAAGAGGCTAGTTGTTCTATTTCTCTGTTTTCTGTATCAAAGCAGTTTCGAAAATAAGCAAATTAGTTTAAAGTGCGACTGGTCAGATTTTGCCCAAACCTGTAGTTTTCAGAATGCGATGCTTGTCTGAAATATGATTTGAGGGTTATTCTTGAGCTGAATTCTTCTCATTGCATATATCTGGAGTTTTAAATTACAATCTTTTATACCGAAAATAAGTGAAAACGGCAATTGGTCAGATTTTGCCCAAATTTACCTTGCAGTTTTCAAAATACGAAGCCTATCGGAGATATGATTCTTGACCCGAATTCTGGCTCATTGCACGTATTGAAGTTTTAAATTACGATTTTTATACCGAAAATATGCTAATTAGCGAAAACTACGATAGTTGTCAAAATTGACCTGCGGTTTTCAAAATACGATGCCTATTGGGAATATTGACCGTAGTTTTCAAAATACGATGCTTATCTGAAATATGACTCTTCGAGAGTTATTCTTCAGCTGAATTCCGGCTCGCTGCATATATTTGGAGTTTTAAATTTCGACATTTTGTACCAAAAATACGCAAATTAGTGAAACCAGCGATTAATCAGATTTTGCAAAAATTTACCTGCATTTTCACAATACAATGCCTATCGGAAATAGGACTCTTGAGCCGAATTCTGGCTCACTGCACATATCTAGAGTTTTAATTTATAACTTTTTATATCGAAATTATACAAATTAGTAAAAATGCGATAATATTTCA